TCATGACCAGCCAGCACACTCCGCATAACATGTGAAAATTGGTTTTTTTTTTCGGGAAAATTAGTATGAACCCGTGGTCAGCGATTATAGAATCATAGAATTATAATTGTAGTTAGTAACGGGTGCATGTTCACCGAAGGGTCACAGAATTCTTGTGTCACGCGCCGCCGTTTAAATGAAGACAATGGCAGGTTTCAAAAGTAGTCACACCTCGGAGAGGTGTTAAATTTGCCACAACCCAAGTGTTAACTAGCACACAATTCCATAATACATAGTATATAATAAAGAAATAAAGTGCATGTTGAGTGATAAGTCCGCATGTTTACGAGACGTCCCTCACACATGGAATGTATTTACACGTAACCCGCAACCCGGATCAAATTTGAATTGAAACAAATTGAAACAAAGAAGCAAATGCCGTTGCTTGGTCAGGATAGAGAGACAATTTTCATGGGTAAATGCTAGTAGAAGATTTAGCCTCAATGCCCCAAATACTTCGATCTAACCACTTTATTTGTACAAGTAGAAAAATTGTTATGTTTCGTTAAAATAAGCATGGACATGTTAGCGTTGAAATAATCATAGAAGTACAGTTATCATCAGTACAGATAGACTCGCTGAACAGGAACTCACACGCGAGCCAATGGAAACAATGGCTGGTTTCAAAGCAATTTTGTCTCGGACAAGACATGGACAACAAACTCGCTGCTTTGCTGATTAGGAATAACGTGATGTTAATTTTGTGGTATTTCAACAGCTTTGTAATGAAGTACAGGCCCTCCGCTAAATCCTCCTATAAACTGTTGATTCTGTCGACCAATGGGAACGCACGTTTCAACCAGACTACTTGGACCTTGGACATTTGCGAGACGTAACAACAAAAAACGCAGCCAGTGATATTTTTCAAAAATAAAAATACAAAATAAACGCAATCAGAGGCGCCAACCACGCGCGTTGAAAATAAATAGAACTTGTATTTAATACATTGACGAAAAACAGCACAAGAAAAATGACAACTAATAATACGCAATTATCCAGGCAGTACTAGAAATTATTGCTGATACTAATCATGTTTTGTATTGGAAAGTTGGATACTTGAACGTGAAGTCCCCGGGCATGTAGTAATAATAATAATAACTTTATTGCCTTCGTGTAAAAAGATTTACATAGGACAAGTACAGCAAAAAAAGAGTTTTAAAATAATAACAAGATATATGTAAGAATTGTACAAAAAACAATACAAAAGGACTTAACTAGTATTTAAATGTTAAATAAATCTTTGTGTTGTGTAAATATAATTGGCCAGTTCTATAATTATGCCAGGATTTTGCTTGAGAGTATATATGTGAACTGTATATTTTTATTTTTATTATCTTCTCTAAGGTCTATGTGTTAACGAAACATAACACGTTTTCTACTTGTACAAATAAAGTGGTTAGGTCGAAGTATTTGGGGCATTGAGGGTCTTCTACTAGCATTTACCCATGAAAATTGTCTCTCTATCCTGACCAAGCAACGGCAGACGCTTCAATTTGTTTCAATTCAAATTTGATCCGGGTTGCGTGTAAATACATTCATGTATGAGGGACGTCTCGTAAACATGCAGACTTATCACTCAAAATACACTTTATTTCTTTATTATATACTATGTAATATGGAATTGTGTGCTAGTTAACACGAATTTAACACCTCTCCGAGGTGTGACTACTTTTGAAACCTGCCATTGTCTTCATTTAAACGGCGGCACGTGACACAAGAATTCTGTGACCCTTCGGTGAACATGCACCCGTTTTTACTAACTACAATTATAATTCTATGATTCTTTAATCGCTGACCACGGGTTCATACTAATATTACCGAAAGAAAAACAATTTTCACATGTTATGCGGAGTGTGCTGGCTGGTCATGCCGTTTATTAAATTATTGTGCTCACGTTTCCTGTGCAATTTCGTGAAGAGCAAACATCGATTCTATGTAAACGAATGAACGAACTTTTTGATATAAACACTTAAATGAATAATAAACAAAAAGCACTGGAAATAGTAGTTAAAGCTGCTTTTATTTGCAACCTTCGCAATGTAATCCGCGTACACTAGTCGACTGTAACGTTGAGTACAGGGCGACGTGCGCCGATTGACACCTAGGCTAGATCGCGTTGACACCTATTTGCTATCATTATTTTTATATATGAATCACCCCTAAAGTAAAAACCTTAACAGCATCATGCCAATCTTAACCAACCATGTACACATCATTTCATAACCATGGTAAATATTTGATTTTACTGTGATAAAACACAATTGAACGTACGTTGTTATATTATAAGCAAACATTACAAGCCTTTGTATTACCCCTCTCATAGGGTTTTTTGCTACTAGCAAACGATACATTTTACCACGAGCATATGGCGTATTTCGCTACTTGCGACTCGCAACTTGGTACTCGCATACGGCACTATTTCTAGGTCGTACATACCTGGTAAATTCAGCAACCATATTTATGGTTTGTAGCCAGGAACTCAGAGGGCTTTATCCAAATTATATGTAAATTCAGCAACAATATTTATGATTTGTAGCCAAGTTAAAAGGGCCTCGTACAAATTATATCTAAATTCAGCTGGCTAAATTAAATAAGAATAAAATGAACCTATAAGAAATTGGAGTAGGAGCATGCATGTTCATTTTGATAGGTCTAACACAGCCTGTCAACATAAATGACTGAATTATTTATAGTCATATAGTCACTACCCTGGTAGTATGTAAACTAAAGTGATGGTGACATAGATTCCATGTCAACAATTTGCATATGAATTGTAATAGACCTCAGGTGTAAAATTTGCATATGAATTGAAATAGACCCCAGTAATAAAATTTGCATATAAATTGAAATAGACCCCAGGTGTAAAATTTGCATATGAATTGAAATAGACCCCAGTAATAAAATTTGCATATGAATTGGAATATACCCTGCTGTAAAATTTGCATATAAATTGAAATATACCCTGCTGTAAAATAGCATATGAATTGAAATATACCTTGCTGTGAAATTTGCATATGAATTGAAATAGACCCCAGGAGTACATTTTCAAATAAACTGAAATAGACCCCTTGTGTACAATTTGCATATGAATTGAAGTAACCCTGCTGTAAAATTTGCATATGAATTGAAGACAACACCAGGTGTACAATTTTCAAATAAACTGAAATAGACCCCAGGTGTACAATTTGCATAAGAATTAAAATGACTTCAGATGTACAATTTGCATGTGATTTGAATGCCTCCTAAGTATTATTCACTACCAGCATGTTCTAACTGCTATGTCATTTTTTTCTCTGTAATCAATGTACATGCCTATAACTTCCTTCTAGCACCAAAATATTTGCATGTCACTTTATTTCACTGACAGATATTTCTCGAGGCCGAGGCAGAAGCATACCCCTTCCTGGTATGGTGGGTTTACCTAATGTGCAGTCACCCAAGGAAGCATGGCTTCCAGCAAGTGGGGGTGGGTAGAATGTCATCTAACTCCCCTTTCCTTCCTCTCTTTCCTATAATTTTATCTTCTATGATGTAGAGATTCAAAAAAAAAATCAAGTAAACTGCTTAAATGATGTACATGTACTGATTCTGCATTTATTGCAGTATTATATTATATTATCAGGTTGAGCGGGGAATGACTACATGTATATTAGCTATATTAGTACAGCATTATGCTTACATGTAAATGACATGCGTGTCCATGGTCAAACAAGTCTTATTTATAATACTGAATATTTATATGATTACCTACTACTGTTAGCTAAATATTACAATTCATATTTTAATGATTTAATGTACAATATATGCAGTTTGTTCATTTATGGGTACTTGTTTTAGAGATGCGCTTATAATACAATAAATATGGTGTGTGAAAGCATTCTGTCACAGGGTCACATTGAGTATAACCCAAACAACCAATATTTTTACCATCTTGTGTATGGGAACTGAACAAGTTTAAAATTACTTGATTCGCTAAACATAATAACATTCAACTGATTACCACAAATATAGCATCGTTGGGGCGGACATACAGGTATTTTCACCACCTGGCAACTATCAGTTAAAACAGAGGCTGAAAACTTCCAGAAAACTGTACTTTGGGATAGTTGTTGACTTTACTGAACTACTCTAATTTACTGATTACCCCTATATATGCAACATACGAGTATATAAATTCGGTTTACTCAGTATTAAGTATTCAAAGTTAAGTTTGTGCTGTTTCCTCAACTTTAGTCTTTTTCACAGAGCCCATAGAAATACATGGTACGAGTGGTGCACGCCATAGTAACAGATAACTTTCTGTGACTTAGCTCTGACCCAAGGATAAAATTATATGCATATACAGATAGAGAGGAATTCACAAGTCAATCTTGCACTCACTTGAAATATGTGAAACCATTATGTACAAGAATTATGCTTGGTCTGGTTACTGATCTAGGGCATAATCGCCTATCACTTCAATAGTTCAGTGCTAAACACGGCCTTCCCCACGCACCAACATAGATGCACAATTAGTAATAATACATTTTGAGACAAATCAATCTTGCATCAAAAATTGATTTCCTGTCTGTGTTAATATGGAATGCTAATATGTCAAATTACTATTTGATAATGACCAGGTCAGGGTGCATACCGAAGACCACCTCCACCTCCAAGACCTTCTAATTCAACAAATGGAAGACAAAGTGACCCACAACTAGGTGAGGTGATATTTCTCTTTTTTGTTCATTTTTTTCCCAAGTTGAAATCAAGATACCCTACATGCAGGGCTTATACATATCCCTGTGTGCTTTTGCTAACTGTCATTAATGTGCATTAACATGATTCTAAGCAAATTCTTACAGAAATTGTTATACTCCAGTCGAATAAAAACATTTGTGAAAGAGGGTGTCTTTGACCAAAGACATTAGAGAGAGAGAGGGACACACAACTGCGGTATTTCTTTTCATGTAACGTATCTAGGTACTTGGTTAATCCGCTTAATATAGAGGAACTGTAATCCTGAGTTAATCCCTATCTTGGGAAACATCGTGAAAATGTCTCGTATTCCGTGTTATCTGAGTGCGTGAGTTGAGCGATAGTATGCTAATTAGGTCATTTTGTTTACAAGAGTTTGTCTTTGCTTTGACAACCAGAATCATCATAGAACATTTAATAGCATTGTTTTCAATGGAATTTTTTTTTTCTTGATTCAACCACTTCCTTCATTATGCTACCGGTATGTTTTATTTTTCTGACTATTTCACATCAGGCTTTTTTATTTTGTGTCCCATTAGCACGATATGCCTATATTCACTGATTCAGTGCCGGAATTTTGCAATTAATGATTCTACATTTGTGTTCATACTTTTTTTCTTTTTAGACATAACTTTCGATAACTTCAAAAAAGCTGTAGCATCTGGGGATGTTCGAGCAGCAACAGATTTTGCCAAAGTATTGGCAGAGAAACGATACAATGGATCAGTAGATGCTACAACATTACCTAGACCGGCATCTTACAAGGACCAAATGATAAAGTGAGTATATAACTAAACAGCTCACTCGGGCATATATGTGTATATTGTGTGTTTTGCCCAAGCCATCAAATTTATGTTGTTTATATTTAGAGAAATTGTCCATCAAGAACATTACATTGTGATCATTGCAGAGGTTCTTGACCTGATGTTTCTTGAATGATGGCTAGCATGACTGTTCTGCAGTTGCAGGGAGATTGTGGGTTTGACTCCGCACTCAGCAGTGAAAAAAAAACAGTACATTCAGTAAAAGTACATTCTGTCCACTTGCAAGACTCCAGCATACATGCTTTCCTTCATTTCAGAGAGTCAATATATGGGCTCGAAACCAAATAATACACAGTATGAATCCGATAATATATAATAAAAATAATAAATAAATAAATAAATAAATAAAATGAAAACTTGTGTCATATGTTGATCTTTTTGTACAATAATAATTAAGGTAGCGAGACTATTATTTGCATACTTGTTTTCATCTTCTAATTGTGACTAAATGACTACAAATAGACCCGGGAAAGTATATATTTTTAGAATCGCCAGACTTCAAGCTTTTCACAAGTGTATTTTGCATGCCCGTATCTGCATTCTACGACGCGTTACTCAATCAAAGGTGAAAAATTACTTTTTCTGTAAAAAAAATAATTACGCATTTACGCTGGCGATAAGAAGTATTTTTTTCACTTTTCCTAGTTGTTCAATAGTCTGGTAAATTGAATGTGTCTGGTCAGTTTTTGATGAACTA